TATTTTTTATGAATATTTCAAATATCTAATGAACAGATTTTTAGAAAGAAAATTTAGGGAAAAGGTTTTTGAAAAAGATCTTTGAAAAATGTAAAAAAAAAAATTCTTAGAAAACAAATTTCGAAATAAAAAAAAATATTTTTTTTTAGAAAAACATTTTTTTTTTTTAAACATTTTTTTAGAAAAAAAATATTTTTTTAGAAAAGAAATTTGAAAAACATTTTAAAAAAATTTTGTTTGAAAAATGTTCAGCATTTGTTTTTTTAATTTTTGAAAAAAAAATTTAAAAATTTTACAAAAAATGTTTGAAATTTTTTTTTCAAATATTTTCAGAAAGAAAAAGTTTTGACAATTTTTAAAACAAAACTTTTTTTTAAACTTTTGGAAAACGTTTGGAAAAACTTGGGAACAAGTTTTAGAAAAATATCTAAGGAAAAGATTTTTAGAAAAAAAATTTAGGGAAAAGGTTTTTGAAAAAGATTTTTGAAAAATGTAAAAAAAAAAGTTTAGAAAAAAAATTTCAAAATTAAAAAAAAAAAGTTTTTGTTTTTTAGAAAAAAAATATTTTTTAGAAAAAAAATATTTTTTAGTGTCATTATTGGTCAAAAACAAAAAAAGAATTTGACAAAAAAATTATTTTTAAAAATGTTATCTCTACTTGCATGTTCCTCATAACGTTAGGGCATTTTGAGAACATTTTTAGAAATTTTCCTTATCAAAACTTCCTGTCGAAATGTGAATTTTTTGTGTCATATTTGGCCAAAAACTAAAGATTATGAAGACTTTTGAGAAATTATTGTGAAAGCAAATTATGAAAAAAATATTTTTGTGAAAAATTTGTTTTAAAATATTTTCAGAAAAAACGTTTTGACATTTTTTAAAAGAAAATATTTTTTGAAAATTTTAGAAAAATTGTTAGAAAATAAAATTTAGGGAATATTTTTTGAAAAATAAATTTGAAAAATGTTTTAAAAATTGGAAACAATTTAAATTTTAATAAATATTTTTGGGGAAGAATTCTTTAAATAAAAAATGAAAAAAATATCTAAAGTTATTTTTGAAAATGTTTAGAAAAAAGTTTTGAATTTCTTTGAAAATTTGACGAAAATATTTGTAAAAGTATTTTTCAAAATATCATCTTTTCCTGCATGTTTCTCATAAAATAAGGGCATTTAGAGAACATTTTTAGAAATGTTTTGCATATAATTGTCAAAACGTTATCTTTTTGTTTCTTATTTGGTACAAATTTTTAATGTAAATAGGTCTCTGTAAAACAACATCTCCTGTGGATTATATCACCATCTGTGACCAAAACATAAAAATAAAAAATATAAATCCAAACAGATTTTGCATCACAATCCAGCAGGTGGCAGGCCAACAGCCTTTCTCAGCATTAGGAATAGTACGTTTCTGAAACACATTGACAGCTGAAAAGCAACCAAATATTAAAACCAGGTTATAATAAGATTCAGTGGCAAAGAATATGTATTCTACATCGTTGATGTTACAGCTACTGTATGTACTGTATGGCACTTGACCCGAATCTCTCGAGATTTGAGATTTTCTGCAGTCGGTTTACAGATATAAATGTGCATATTTCTCTGTATAATAAACACTGGTAACTTCTACTGCAGTGGTTTTATCCAACTCATTTGGTTTGCAGAAAAAAATATTGCACACTTTTTTGGATGTTTGTTTGTTTGAGACTCACGTGCAACGTGTCGTTTCCCATCAGATTCACCACCACGCCCGACAGGTTTCTCTGGTTGAGAATCTCCAGCACGGATCTCAGCCAAAAGGGGACGTCTTCCTTTTTTTCGGCACACTCCTCACCGGCACCTTCAAAGTATCAAAACAATCGAGCGCTCCACATTTTCAGATGCTAAAATGTGTGCTATTGCTGCGAGTCAGCAGTTTGATTGACACACAACTCAGCCTGTCAGCTACCGCCTTATTCAGAAAGTGGCCTATTCTTGCTACGGACTGCACTGATAGGCGTGTCCATAGACAGCCAGGAACATACAATAGTTGTTTCAATTAAGTAATGGCGAATGAAAAGGTGGGACAAAAAAAAAAATACGTGACGTGGGACAAAGGTTGAAATTGCTGTGCAATACAACGTAAAGCGGGACAGGTGGTCACTCCATCTCCAACTCAGCCGCAGCTTCATCTGTACCTGGGGGGGTTTACACAGTCCGTCCCCGCGTTAAAGGGGTCGACAGAGGAACGTAACGTGTGGCCTCTTAAGTTGAAGATCACAGAACCGACTCACAAAGCTTTCGTGCAGGTTCATATCTGGCTGTTTGCTGGTCGGGGACAGCGCCGGTGACGTGTTCGCTGGTTTTTAGCAGTGTGGGAAACTGCGTCAAATCTCTCTTCTGAATATGCGTCTTGAACAGCTTGAGTTTGTTGGCAAACGCAAACATACTTTGCACCAGATCAGGCAGTACTTTTGTCTTACACTGGTCAGGTTCAGTCTGTCCAAGTGACACAGCATGGCGACCAAAAGAGCCAGATCCATAACCCACTTGAGGTCTGTCAGCTTGCCTTTGGGAATGCCTGATGGACTGTGAAAAACGTCTGGTTTCTGAATGGGAAAGAGAACATGAACTATGAAGACAAGCTGCTCTGATACTGTGGAATCACATCGAATCAGCTCATTTATTAGGTACAGCAAGTTGAGGCATTTGCACAGGAAATCACCATCTCCAGAACACTGAATACAGGGTGGCATGATGTGCATAAAAGTACCAGGGGATACTTAAATGCAATTGTCTTTAGTGTTCTTTCAGTGAGATGAATTCTATTTCAGAGCCAGATACAGTGTAAAGTCTACATTTTGCATTAGTTAAAACTTTTATATCATTGCTTTCCTTGATCCACTGTGTGAAACAATGGCGTTTGCCATTGTTTCACACAGTGAGAGTGAGAGAGTGAGAGAGATTGCCATTGTTTCACACAGTGAGAGAGAGAGAGAGAGAGAGAGAGAGAGAGAAATTTGAGAGAAGGTTGTGGAATTAAGTTGGGATGTTCTTCCATCTCGTGTTCAGGAATAGTCATAATTGTGTAAACAGGGCAGTCACTCAAACTTCATGGAATGTTCACTCAGTAATCCCTCGCTTTTTCCCATCAACCCCGTTTGTTTCGACCTTTCAGAAGCCTCAATCCAACCACACAAGGTCAGGATCTGGTCTTCCCTCTTTTATGCATTTGCCATTAGAAGTTTCCAGCTGTCCAATATAAGATTCAACATCCGCCAACAAAAATAAGGGGTCAAAGTGCACGGGAGTAGTGGATGTGAGCAGGACGAGTAGAAAGTCAGAGACAGTGGCTCTTCTTCAGCAGATAAGACTGTGTATATACTGATTGACAAGGGAAGACCTGGAGACATACTCAGCAGATTCCGGATGGATGTGGGTTATAGTCTTTAAGGACAGTCAGAGGACGACGTGCAGCAGTCTTTAGCTCAGGTGTAACGCGGCATCTCGCACTGTTCACAGCGGTTGAGTGCAGGGTGGTTGAGGAAGGTGCAGCTATCACAGTTCCACTGGGCGCCTTCAAAGTCCTCGTCCCTCTGAGGTCTGGACACCACCTTGGAGCCCTGCTCCCCTTCTGATGAGACCACATACAAAGAGCACATGAGGCAGGCGGTTTGTGTGAAAAATGTAGAACGCAACAAAAATTCATCGTGTCAGCACCTCAAGGCTGGCATTAAGCTCGTCTGTTCAAGAAAACACAAAGGCTCACATTCAATCAACGATCATTCAAGTGTAATTGTAGACAAAGACATTTATTAGATGGCAAGGTTTCTTTCATCTAGTTTCCATGCCAACAGATTTGTGAAGGTCAACACACGACTAACGTCCAGCAGCCTATATTCTGAGTTATCAGACGACATAAGGTCCTTTATTCTTAGAGCATTAGAAATATTAGAAATTAGAAATATGTGAAAGTAACAAGACTTTGAAAAATGTGAAGCTGTGTCCTAGCAACATTATAAATACTTCTTTCTTGTCTGTACAGCCACATGCAATGTTATAAAAACAGTAAATTAATCATTTTTTTAATATTATTAACACTACAATGAACAATCCTTACCTTTCTTTCCAGGTTTAGGCGGCACAACCGGACCAGGCTGAATGTTGTCATAAAAGTTATTCTTTGCTTTTGGGTCAAATTTTCCTGTGGAGAAAGAAGAAACCTCATTACATTAGAGTCATGTTCAAAGACAGAAGCATAATGTAGTCAAAACAGCGAGTGCTAACCTCAGCTCCTCAATAGATTATAAAGAAGAAAAGAGAAGGCGACCTAGCAGAAAACTTTCTTTGGTCACAGCTTTTTTGGCGAGTCTCGGATTAGATACCTAATCAATTTCTGAAGCCGTGTATGTTTTATCAAAACTTGTTTACAAATAAAATCTCATTCAAAAGCATTTCTGGTGCTGTTTGGAAAAATAATATATTGATGGATAACCCTGTAAAACTTGAAAACCAATATCACGTATCAATATAAACACATCATTTTAACCATGAGGCCTCAGCTCGGCAGCAATGAAGTTATGTGGATGCATCTCTGTAGCCTGCCCTCGCCCGAAAGTCTGGTTATTAAAGGTCAAATAAACACTGAAAAACAAAAACCACTGGAAGATCTTCTGCTGCAGTCTGCAAAACAAGTATGTTTTGGGCAAGAATACAAAACTGAATAGAAACAAACACCTTCAAAATGTGAAGTAGAAATAAATGAGTTAAAAAAAACGGCTTTAAATCTTTGGTCTGTTTCAATTTCAGCTCCAAATTAAAAGTAATTAACTGATCTGATAACAGATCTGCCATTGTTTATGCTATATCTTTCGGGGGCTTTTCAAAGTAGCCTGCTTATCAACGGACACGGTAGCTGAACCACAAATCATCCCATGTCCTGTCATAAGACAGCAGGTCGTGGTAGAACGCTGCATCACTATGCAGCACGATGGATCCATCCATCACTTTGGAGCCAACTCTGTCTGCTGCTGGGCTCGGCTCTTTCAAGATCAATGATTTCAAATAAAACAAAGACACACTTCAAAAAGATGTGTGTGGGAAGGTGCACTTCTGTGAATGCATGTGGGGCACGCGTGTGTGCGTGTGTGTATGTATACCTCTAGACCGCAGCAGATCCGTCTCTTTCAGAGTACAGTCGATATCTATCTGAAGTTGTCTGTTCAAACTCCGCAGTCTGGTCATCTCCTCAGGCTGCAGTGGGCAAAAAAGAAAATAGAAAATACAGCCAATGTCATCCAGTGAACATCTTTAAGACTACACAAATTGACAAGTACAAACCAACAGGACAACTTGAATTATTAAAGGCATGGTTGTATCTACCCGGCACCAGTGCATCAGTCTGCTGTTTGTTGATGATGTACAAGACAGTGTGAACTATTATATTACTATTATATTAAAATATTTGTTTAAATATAAAATCTACAAATGAGTATCTTTGCTGGAACAAGTCCTTACTCTGGGTATAAGACTGGTTGAATTGACTCGTCGAAAGCGTCTCTGAAGGGCATCATACTCCATACTGTTGACATCGCCCTTGAGCTGCTCTAGTTTCTTCTTCTCCAGCATCAACTCCTTCATTAGACGCTCCATCCTGGCCCGCTGGTGGAGCAGAAGAGCTGAAGCGGAACATCCCGACACATGATGTAAAGGACATGTAGAGTTGTTTTCAGAGTTTAAAAGGTCACCCATTAAATATATGCCAAACCTTTTAATGTCATTGGTTTTTATATTGTTTATAGCACAATGTAGGCACTGGCATCGGAGGACTGAGCAAAAATGATCGTCTGAATACCTTTTTTAATTGCACCAGTATGTTTGAGTTAAAGAACACTATTATCCATTATATTATATGACAGGAGATTGCATACATGTGTCACAAATGGCTCAAACCTCTGTCTTTGAATCACAAGAAACAGTTAAGGAACAACGCTCAACTGTCACGGTATGACAATATATATATATATATATATATATATATATATAATGTTTTATAGTACGCGTCCCTGAGTAGGGTAGCTATGGTGAGGGATAATGATCATTGTTGTTTGAGCGACTTAAATAGCTGTCAAGGGAGTGTGTTTCCTTCCAATTTTAACTTCCTCTGAGCAAAACAGAAAACTTCATTTGCTCACGTTACATTTCATAAAACAGTGAAGTTATGTGTAAAGAACACACCAAAAAGAGAAAACTCTTTTTTTATGTGAAACAAATACTCACATAAAAACTTTAATTTCTGTGTCATGGTGCAAGGTCAACTTTGGATTTTCAGACTGCCACATACCATACATTTTTCTTCAAAACAATAATGGAAACAGCCACGTAAAACTGCAAATATGCAAAGTAATACCTAAACATAGTGAGGAATTGTGTAGGTCTATGCAAACATTTTGCAGACGCTGACTTGTCATTGTTTTAGAC